GCATGGAAACTACTGATAAAAATAGAGGTAAAGATTCGTTTTAGATCAAACATGAATTTCATACCTCTTTTTATTTTGGGAGAAAGCCAAAAAAAATTTATATTCTAATACGTTTCCAGTGCAAATTTATACTTTTTGAGTGTTTTAACTGATAAGACCTCTCCAATTACCAACAATATTGGTTGTTCAAAGTGGGGAGATATGATAGAAGTATTTAAGTGGTTGAAAGGAATCAATAGAGGAGATATAAATAAAGTTCTTATAATATCCGAGCAGGATAGGGCTCGTAGCAACGGATTTAAGTTGGATAAGTTTAGGTTTAGGAGGGAGATAGGAAGGAACTGGTTCACAAATAGGGTGGTGGACGAGTGAAACAAGCTTAGCAATTTTGTAGTAAGTGCTGGAATGCGGGAAAGTTTTAAAAGGAGGCTAAATAGATTCATGGATGATAGAAAGTGGTAGTAACTCTCGACAGGAGCTGCCATGCACAGGCCAACTGGCCTATTGCAGACTCCTTATTTTCTTATGTTCTTATGTCTCTCTTTCTCTCTGTAAATGATAACGGACTCACTTCCTCGAGTTTTTATTACAAAAAAATCTCTTCCAGATAACCCTTTTACGTTTATTTTTTCCTTGGAGTGATTCTGTCTGAATCTTTTTTATTATTGTTTATGCTACGACTATTACTATTTCGACTACTGTACTTGTTAGAGTTAATGATGTCAAAGTTTCTTAAGTTTATGACACAGTTGAGCACATACAGTATGTACTGTACGTACAGTTGTGGACATAATCCCTATAGATACTTTTGTCAATATCTAGCAAAAATACTAGCAACTTTAAAACTACCCTTAAACATTCTTGGGTACACCCAGGGTGTCATCCACAAATAATCGAGGTCCGCGAATTGTCAGGGCATGCTGTATTTATTAATGTACAGTAGCTAAAACAATTCTCTGTGCAGGTGGGGGTCGATATGTTCCAAAATTTTATATGTGACTAGTGACAGCCCTCATATACCAAAATTTATCGTCCATGGTCTCATATTGTTTCCCACAAAGCATACACAGATAGTTGTTTTAGCTACTGTACAGTATTACAGGTATTACATATATATGTTATTATTATTATTACTATGTTTACAGTACCTTTAAAAAATATTTGTTTGCACAGTAATTATAAATAGATTATTTTATGGCAGCCAAGGCATTGCAAGGTATGGTGTCCTGCATTTTATATAAAATACTGTTCCTTGGTGAGTTAACATCATCCCTGTCTTTGTTTTACAGGTTTATGTGTCTGCCATCTTCAATATGGAAAGGATGGTAGATCACCTTGGCAGTACCATAAACACACCACAGCTCTTTGAGGATGATGACTCCCCAGAGTCCTTGGATGTTGGAAGTCTTTTAAGTGACAGTCATGGTCGCGGTAGTGAAACAGAAAGTTGCTTTAGTGGTTTTGATTCAGATGATGAAATATTATTGCAGAAATGTCAAAAGAAAAAACAAATTTGCAAGGGTAAGTGTGTAAACAAGATTACAGAACATGAAAGATTAGTTAGTATTGAGAAAAATTTTAGGCCTGTAACTTATGCTCACTTCATTTATTATGAAAGATATCCAGATGTGCTATATATAGATAGTATGAGACAAGGTAAAAACAGAAATGATTATGAGACTGAACAGAATCATAAAAAACTAGGTTCCAAAAATATTGCAAAGGTAATAATAACATATTGTACAAATAGAAATAGAATGTGCAGTTCTTTAAAAAGTCTGAATGGAGGAATGCAGGTTGTAGACAATGAGGGTCGTGGTTATTATCAAATACGCACAAATACGAGTACAGAAAATATGAAAACATCTTACAGAGACAGTCAGGTCTTGTGCCACAATATTAACCTTACACAAAAACATAAGCAGTGTAACGGAACTCATCCAGTTCTTCTTACTCATAGTGGACATTTTCCTACAACAAAAGTGCAGACAAATAATGATCATCTAACTTATAATTTTCCTGAAAATGAACTGAAGAAAGGGGGAATGACTGTGTACACTAACGTACCTCCTCAGTACGGAAATGTCCCCAAGAAAAACTTGTCTCCACAAAATAGAAATGCTCCCATGGAAGACCTATCTCCACAAAATAGAAATGCTTCACTGGAAGATATATCTCCACAAAATAGAAATGCTCCAATGGAAGACCTATCTCCACAAAATAGAAATGCTCCAACGGAAGACCTATTGCCACAAAATAGAAATGCTCCCATGGAAGACCTGTCTCCACAAAATATAAATGCTCCAATGGAAGACCTGTCTCTACAAAATATGAATGCCCTCATGGAAACTTTATCTCCCACACCTATAATTACAGATCCAGATGAACCAGCTCCCAGCTACTGTGCTTCAGAGCAAATTAGAGAGGTTCCTGCAACAGAGGATGATGTAATGAATGACTCCGGACATTTTATTAAGGATAAAGATAATATAATGGACCACACCAATAATACTTGTCCTAATACTGAAGACATAAACCATTCTCTTGTTACTCAAACATCAAATGATACCAAAAAAATTTATACAGTTTATAATAGTGTCAATATGATGGAAGAAATTGGTGCAATAAAAGAAAACAAAACTGATGACACTGAGTGTGAAGATGTTTGTACCATGAACCTACCAACCTCTAACAACAGCACTAATTGCAGTTTGGGTGTTAAAGAAACAAAAGAAAAACATTCAGACAGTATCAATGACATGAACAAAAAATATCTTACTGAAGAGTCAGTAAGTAATAGAAAAGCAAGAGAACCCTGCCATAACTCTCCAGAAAAATTGATTGATATCGTGAAAACTCTTTCTAATGTTTCCAGTAGCCAAACTGGCAATGAATTACCATTTTTAGAGAATCTTGTCAATCAAATATGGCATGAGCTGACTGTCCAAACACAAGCTACAGAGAATGCTGGTGACACTTCTAACATTAATTCAATTTTATCTGATTCCCCAGACAACAAAATCATATTAAGTGCTCAAAACCTTCACCAAGAAGTTTGTGAGATCATGACACAGGAATCTAATGAAATTATTGGTAACTCTGGCAACAGTAATACAGTTACATCAGACACCCAGAGGCCTCATATGACATCATCACCAAAAGATATTAATCAAGAATGTTATAAGAAGCCTAACTTAGGGCTTGAATCTGAGGAAGATGCAGGTGATATTGTCAGCTCTGTTTCTGATATGTATGACCTCCAGGGTAGAATGTCAGTGTCACCTTCAAATGGGCTTAAAGGAGAATATGAAGAGTTGACTTCAACACAAAACTCAATGGCTGGTACTGGTGATGCTGTCACTACTAATTCTGATCCACCTTATCCCCAAGGGAAAATGGAAATAACCCTCACGGACAGGTATTATATAGAAAATTGTGAAACAATGTCTTCAGTCCCAAAGTGTGTTGACAGTGTTGATAGTATCAACCCAAGTTGTAATCTGTCACACTCCCAAAGTACCAATGTAATATCATCGCCAAGAAAACTTGATCCAGGAAGTTCTGAGGCACTGATCTCAAGCAATAAGTTTGTCAAGGAAACTTGTCATGGCATCAGTAGTAGATACAACTTATCAAAGTCCCAGTATTGTGAAGTAGAATCAGCAACAATCCCTAATCAGGAATTTTATGAAGAGGTAAACTTTAAACAAAATTTTACAAGAACGTACAGTAAAGCAAACTCCAAAACCCTGGGAAAAAAATTTAAGTCATCTTCACAAAAACTTGATAAAGACACAGATAATAAGGCAGCCAGAAAGGAGAAATATAAGGAAGTATCATCAGCTGACGTTACCACTTTTCATAAAATAACTAAGGAGTCGAGGAGACCACTAAGTTTACCTGAAGAAACAAGCCAAGAAGATTTTAAAGGGAACTCGCCAAGAAACTCTTGTGAACAATTTCAGGGAAAAGATGTAGATGGGGATATAATCAAGAGAGCATGGCATTCTATATCTTCCCTACCATCAAATTATATAAGTGAATTTAGACCTTTTTCAGGGGCATGTAGCAGAAATAAAAGATATGACAAGAAATTGAGTTCAATGAATAATGTACAGGCAATTCCAAGTGATAGTGAAGTATTATCTATTGATCATAATTATTTTAGCCATGATAACACATTCCAGAATAGTAGTGCAGATAAGAGTAATATTGATAATGGTGTAGACAGTTTTACTACAAATAATTTTACACCGTGTCATAACGCACAAAAGCATTCTGAAAGTACTGATCACAGCAATGATAGCGATATCAGTAAATCTTTTATTAGATATAAGTGTCAAGAGAAACCATTTGAAGTCAGTAAAATGTTGGGAACAATAAGGTCTTCTGCAGTTGATAAGAATAACACCAAAATAGCCCAAGATTACCTTGGCTGTTGTACAGAAAGTTCACAATGTACGACATTTAATGACAAAGTTAATAGAAGCGGAACAGAGAGCATTTTGTACCCTTTTGATCGCACTACATTTTTTAACAGTATAGGATTAGTAGGGAAGAATGTACATAATAACAAGAGATGCTCTCCATCTTCTGTTGCACACAGGACAAGAAAAGTACGTGCAAGAAAAGAAAGAGAACATACCAGAAAGGAGGTGATGCTGGAGACACCAAAGTTTAATCCTACTCAAGATAAGATTAATACTAAGAGCTCAGTGTCAAAGGAAAACAGTATGACTGTTGTTAATGACTTTTCATATAAAAGTATAAAGATGAGTTGCTGTTATAAAGATGAAGAAGAGTGTCAACCCAATGTTAAGGAATTCACTAATCTTGGGCAGAAGAAGAAAAAATCAAGAAGTGGCCAGAGAAAATTGTTATTCAAGTCTCTTAAGGAAGGAAGAGATGAAGCATCTTTGGCTGTATGTGACAGTAGCAAAGATGGTAGTGTTGCTTGTTGTCATAGCAGGCAAGACTCTCTGGAATCTTGCCCTACAATATTTGTGGGAAGCGTGAATCTCAGTGTGTAATTGAAAAGCAAAATGAGGGTATGAAAAAATCTGGTGACTCTACCTGTTTTAAAAACACAACAGAAAAATCAGTTGTTGAAGATAAGACGAACACAACACTATATCAAGAAAACTATTCTTCCTGTCTGCGTAGCAACACTAGTATAAAACTCTTTATTTGTAATACATGTCGGAAGTCTTTCCAAAGTACAGACGAATTAAATTTTCATTGTACCACAGAATGTGCACACTCCCTGACCTGTGGCACGCATAACTGCTCACAATGCTCTCATCCTTCACATCAAAGTTCTTCAACCAGTGTTATAGAAACAAACATGAGAAACTCCAGCAGTAAGCATGTGACTAAATTTACAAATAATATATGTCATTCTCCTGGCATATCTTTATATAAGCAACCACTAAAGGTACAAGATTTTACCATTACACAGAAGATTAATACTTTCCCCAATCCTCCAGATATTGTTGTCACTCATCTACATGTTCATCAGAATTCTTTACAAGCCAAGGTACTCGGTAGAGCCTCTGTTGAAAAATTATTTCTTTGTGAGGAAGGTAAAGGAGAGGATCCAGAAGAGCCTTTCAGATATGTGGCATACAATGTACAGAATCCAGAGCAGCCAGTTAGATTTGTGGTAGATAATAGGGAGGATCCAGGGCAAGTTTTCAATTTTGGGTCAGATAATGGAGAGGATCCTGCACAGCCTTTTGGTTTTGGTTCAGATATTGGAGAGGATCCTGTACAGCCTTTTGGTTTTGGGTCAGATATTGAAGAGGATCCTGTACAGCCTTTTGGTTCTGGGTCAGATAATGGAGAGGATCAACAGGAACTATTCAGTTTTGGGTTGGACTCAGGGCAGCCATTCAGATCTCGTGCAGATTATATCAGAATAATATCCTCAGAAAAAATGGTGGAGAAGTTTTTGGACCCAAGCAAAAAAATTCATTGTGATTCCAGCAAAACTGAAGAGAAAATAAGTTTTGCTCCCCAGAAAGTTTTGAAACGCTTATCAGAAGAAAATGATTTTTTGGGATTTGAAGATGGAGTGCAAGACTATGAAGTGAATGAAAACTTTTTCCCATCCATTATTTTAAATAAAAAAAGTTGTATTGGATCTGCAAATGAAGAAAAAAAGTATTTATGCTTACAGAACATTGAGGAAGACAATTGTGAAAACACAACTACAATAGATCCAGAATATAAATGTATGGAGTCTCTGGTAGAAGGTCCCTCTTGTAATAAGTCTAACATCCCATTATTGATTCCCTCTGCAGAATTGGTACCTTCAGTAGACAATTCTACATTACCGGTATCTAGTGATCTTGAAGCTTGTGGAGATTTACAGACACTTAATGATGTGAGTTTTGCTCCTCCCAGGAAGAGCAAAGGAATTGTAAGAAGAAGAGCAAAGAGACTTTTGGATCAGAACACATCAAAACTACTATTAACTTCAGGTGTTAAAAAGAGAGTAAGTCATACTCAACAGCCTTCAGAAAACTTTCCAATTGGGCAAGTACAAGAAAATACTTCTCTGTATAAGAAATATCCAGATAAGGCTGTAACAAGACAGAGTGTTCAAGTAAATCAGTCAAGGAAATTAGACTCAGCGTTTGCAAATGGTTGCCAGCCAAGAGCTTCAAATACTGCTAAGCAATACAAAGAAGACATTGTGATAATAAAAAGTGGCAAAAGATTGTATTCCTGTAATATATGTCACAACTTGTGTAGTTCACCTGGTGACCTGGTCCGACACATGAAAATACACACTAAGGAAAGTCCTTTTAAGTGTCACCTTTGCCCACGAACTTACACACACAGAAGTTCCCTAACCAAACACTTGGATGTACATGAAGGAAAGAAGCCTTTTATTTGCTTAGTATGTAAAGCGGCTTTTTCCCAGAAAGTTCATTTAAAAACACACTTCTCAATTCATACAGGTGAGAAACCTTTTAGGTGTTCAGAATGTGGCAAAGCATTTTCTCGCCGTGATCATCTGAAAGGGCATAAATATACTCACACCTCAGAAAGACCATACAAGTGTGATATGTGTCCTCGTGATTTCAAATGCAATTCAAATTTGTTCAATCATAGGAGAATCCATCTTGAAGATCGACGATATCAGTGTGATTTCTGCAGTGCTTCTTTTATTGTGGCACACAGTTTAATGCTGCATATGAGGACCCATACTGGAGAAAAACCTGTTCATTGCCCAATATGCAATGTAGACTTTAGATTTGAAAGTAGTTTGAGAAAACATGCAACTTCAAAGCATCCTGGCTTTGAGGTCAGGGGCTCCGTTCTTGTTCGTGCAGTGCAGTAATGACCGGGAATATACAGTCCCCGAAAGTATCGTTAGCCTTTGAACATGAATAAGTATACTCTGTATATGTTTTCGAACAATACATACAGTAATACAGTGGGGTCTCCTTTTGCACAGGTATATCGTACTGGTACACGGTCACGCATCAGATATCCACACAAGCGATGCCCTTTATCGTGTTAAAATTGCTATACGTATCTGTATTGTATTGGACTCACCCGACCTTTACTTTAGAGCAACTTTGGGTAACCAGCTTAACCTTCCAAAAATGACAGTGTCACATAAATTGCCTCTAAATTATTAAATAGATATTTTAAGAAAAGCCAGGAAGTTAATTATGCGATATTTTTTATCATTTCCACCAAATAGTAGAGGTGTGGGAAGCTCTGGGAGATGATGGGAGTCCAAGGCCGGGGATGAAGGATAGTTGGACTCAAAGTTTTCAAAATCAACTGCAGACACTTAAACAAAGCAACTTCAACTTCATTACCAATCTCCAGAGCAGCAGGGTCATCGTTACCGGATTCTCATTCAATAGTTGAGGCGTAAAATAGGCCGTGATGAGAGCTTGGCAGCGGCCTTTAAACTCTTTGTAGCGTTGCCTGTAGGGTTCCATCAAACTCTCTAACTGTGCACCGAGTTCATGACTGTGTTACAAGCTGGGCTCAGCAGTAATTAAAGCATCCTAGAATTCTTCAACATTGCAAAGAATTTGCATCACCTGCTGCTGAGCCATGCATTCCTCGGTCTGTTCTGTTACCGCCACACCACAAGCACTGATTTAGTTTGTTGTTTTATTTTAAAGTCAAAGTATATACAGTACTGTATTGTATTTTGTTCTTTTATTTCATACTGTATGTTATATTATTTATGAAACATACAACATAGTAGGCTGATCTTATGAGAATATAATAATGAATAGATAAAAACACTGGTGAATGAGGCAACAGCCAAGTGCATACACTTGGTTACAAAGGGGAAAGGACAATCAATCCTTTTGGGGGTGGGTGACCATATCAACCCTCCCTCCTCCCAAAGAACCCTACCTCTACCACTCTCTACTCCACTTTCCATCTCCTATCTATACCCTCTATTTTTTTAAGTAAATAACAAGAATAAGGGATAGGCTATGAGAAATCATGAAAGAAAAATAGAAAGAATTAAGAGTAATTAAAGAATAAATATAAAAGAGAGATAACAAAGAAACATTATGTCTATGTGAAAAAAAGTAAATTTATCCTCATTCTCTCCTGCAATATCAGGTCATCCATTGTATGTAAACTTCTCTCATTTGCAGTGAAGATGGGGTGGAGGGAATAGTGGTCTCATATTACTGACCTGATGCACTGTCAGTTCACCCAATATTGAGGTGGGGAATTAGTGGGTCTCATGACTTGAAGATATCTTGAATAAAGACAAAAGTAATATACAGTACACTGTACCCTCGTTAATTCATATTTCAGCCTAATTCTTATGTTTTATTTTTTCTTAAAAAATTAATTACCAACTTGACCTCAAAATGAATCTGAAATAACCATGCAGTTCCAAAACATTAGGGTTGCCATATCTGAACATTCATAAAAGAGGACGCTCCGGAAGACATCCTGCCCCCGCCCCCCCGCCCGGAACACACTTTGGCGTTATGTTACCTTGAAGCAGCCGTGACTATTAATTTTGCATATATATACCAGTATTGATGTACAGTTGTACACCACTTAACGCGGTCAGTAAAACCCAGAGGGTACCGTGTTAAGTGAAAACCGCGTTAAGTGAACAACAGAACATATGGGATTAATTCCAATAGAAACCGGCCCGACCCCCAAACTCCACTTTTTGACGACACATAACTATGTTGTAGTAAAAATAACATCTTAAATTTATGATGGTACATGCACACAATTAATACTTTAGAGAAATAGAGAAATATAGTCGCCAAGTTAATGTCCATTCAAATAATGGACTCCACTCCCTCCCCCTCTTCTCACACTACACTGCTGGCTCTTCCCTCTCTGAGAAATTTTTGGGGGAAAACCACTAAATTTTAATAAATAATACCTCAAACTAAAGTTAGGATAATACAATTGACATTGCTGGATTCCTTGTAAGACCAGGAATATTTTGAATATAAATGTCATATATTTTGCACAAAAGATAACATATTTACTCAGAGTAAACATTTTATCTAAAATTTGTATGTCTAATGCAAAATATATGATGTTTATATTCAAAATGATCACCAAATTGTAAGAATTCCAGCAATGTAAATTATATTCTGGCCGGGTAATTTGTATGAATTTTATGAGCTAAAACAAATATCTTCAGTTTATAAAAAAAAATATATATGCTTCACGACACTATCTGTCACTCAAAGTACCCCACCTTGCCTCCCTCCCTCTTCCAACCATGCGGTCAGTCCCAACCCTCCCCCCACCCCCCACCAATCCTCCCTTCAAGAGAAAGGTTGGGTGAAAAAACTAAATTTTAACATTTTGTATTAAATAATACCTCAGATTAAAGTTAGGATAATATAATTGACATTGCTGGATTCCTTGTAAGACCAGGAATATTTTGAATATAAATGTCATATATTTTGCACAAAAGAGAACATATTTACTCAGAGTAAACATTTTATCTAAAATTTGTATGTCTAATGCAAAATCTATGATGTTTATATTCAAAATGATCATCAAATTATAAGAATTCCAGCAATGTAAATTATATTCTGACCGGGTAATTTGTATGAATTTTATGAGCTAAAACAAATATCTTCAGTTAATAAAAAAAAAAATATTCTTCACAGGGTAACAGATGGTCGGTCGGTCCCTCCCTCCCCCCCACCCCCCACCAACCGTCCCAAGGAGATGTGTGGGAAAACCAGAATATTTAACTTTTTAGTAATAAATAATACCTCAAACTAAAGTTAGGATAATATAATTGACATTGCTGGATTCCTTGTAAGACCAGGAATATTTTGAATACAAATGTCATATATTTTGCACAAAAAATAACATATTTACTCAGAGTAAACATTATATCTAAAATTTGTATGTCTAATGCAAAATCTATGATGTTTATATTCAAAATGATCATCATATTGTAAGAATTCCAGCAATGTAAATTATATTCTGGCCTGGTAATTTGTATGAATTTTATGAGCTAAAACAGGCAGTCAGGCAGGGTGGCGGGTGGTGGGGCAAATCTAAAAATAGCGTCTCCAGCCGGACACTCACCGCGTATACGTTAAGTGAAAGTTCAGCTCTGGCGAGGCACCGCGTAAAACGTAAACCCCGCTAAGTGAAACCGCGTTAGGCGGGGTAATACTGTACTGTATTGTATTGTTTTTTTAATGTAGGCTAATATACATAGTAAAGAAATCTTAAAAATAATAAAAAAAATTACCTTTGCTTAAGGCTGAATATCTTCATTCCCTTAGCTGCAGTCTAATAATAATAATATCAAACTGTTTATTAATAGAGTTGCAGCCGGTGGCTGTGTGTGTGACTTGATGTGCCCATGCACATCAAGATTATAGTTGAAAATTGCTAAAATGCCTTATATGCACTCAAGAAAAACAAATGCTACAGTGTAAAAAAAGCCATAAGAAAAAATGGTATACTTTCAACATTTCATTCATGGCTGTAATAGCACTAAGTACAAAAAAAAATTAATAATGCACGTGGCTGAAGAACACGGAAAAGCAGTACATGGCACTACATGCTAGCCCAAAAACTGCTAGCAGCTAAGTTGACAACACCGTACAGGCATACATGTGACTTATCAGCTGACTAAAACTGAATGAGATCTCTACGGTTTCCACCTCCCCTCTCTCTCTCTCGTCATTACAGTTTCATGTTTTTCCTTGGAGAAAATGATGGAAGCTGAAATTCCGGACTTTTGAAGAATGTTAAAAATTCCTTCCGGATGAAGATTTCGAGACCTAAATGGAGGACATGTCCGGGAAAATACAGACGTATGGCAACCCTACAAAATGTTGATTGTTATTTTAGTAATATATTATGAAATTGATTAAGACGAATGACTTATAGGAATCAAATATGCAGTATATTACGATATAAAACTACGTTGGTGATGGGTGGCAGAGGAAGAAGGGAGGACAACTCGCCACCTGCCATTCGGCAGCGTGCGATCTCTTTATAATGACAACATACAATCAGAATAATTCCCATATTATTTAGGTTCATTTGGTGCCAGGTTAATAAAACATCATAAAAAAATAGTTAATTTTTCCCAAATTCTGTAATCCAACACGCAATTCCAGATGAACTATTGTAGTAGGGTGTGTCATAGGAGGGAAGATCAGCTAAAACTAATGGCCCATCACTTTTTTGGTAGATTTTAGTGTATATAAACAGAAAATAATTTCAGTTTCAATATTTTGCAACCTTTTGCTAGGTAAATTTTAGCGTGAAATTTATCGAAAATCTAACGTACAGCTGCATTAGTGCATTACAATTAAATAGTGAACATTGCTTTCTGACTTCATTCTTTAACAACCCAACTAACAATATTTTTTTCTGTTTCAGATTCTGATGCATTTATAAGTTGATAATATTTGCAATGGCTGCTTGTGTCAGGACGAGGAACCAAAAATCCAGCCATCTCAGTCACTATCTTGGGTCTGGGAGAGAGCTCCTGAAGTCGGAGTTGCCTACATTGAGAGATGCTTTGAGATACGGTGTTTTAATCAGGCAAATCAGTGAAAAGAACCAAAGAACTTACACAAACAAAGACATTGCCAGTGATATGACCAAAGCTGTCTTGGCACAGTACATTCTGGCTAACGCTCAGTTCAAGCCTCCAGTCATAACAAGTCAGAAGAAGATTAGTGAGAGACTGCTAGCCAGTTGGGAAAAGGCAAGAGATATCTCTCTTGGGAGAGGAAAACTTGCAGTTAAGGACAGTTTTGCCAAGCAACTGGACCAGTTATTTGACATAATTACTTGCAAGTGCCCAATTGTTCTCTGTCCTGAGTTTGGATGCGATCGTGACTGTAAA